TGGGTGATGCTAGAGAAGTTGCAGAGAACTGTGTTAAACTACGACTGTGCTGATAAATTACTTGTTGATTGACAATCTCAACTGTTAATTGTAATCATTAAAGCCTATTAGTTGCTAAGCACAATCATCTAAAGTATATTGTTTTATATAAATTAACTTGGCTAAATTCGATTAATTCAAAATGCATAATTAATTATAATTTCCAATTATAATTACTGATAATATTCATTATCAATTCAGTGTAAATGCATAGCAAGATTGATTTGTGAGTTGTAGGTTTCAGCTTTATACACAAAGCCATCATCTTTTAAAGATTTAAAGCAAATAATTAGCAGAATTCAAATGTAGACCTATTCTGCCACACTAAAAGTATAGTTAAACCTGAATGAGCAATTATACTGTAAAAATAAAAGTTATGTTTGATATAAATTCCTGATATTCACGACTTTTGTCTTTCTCTTGACATTTAAGATGCTGAGAACCACCAAAAAAGATGTGAACTGCTGAAGAGAAAGGATCGGCTGAGTGAAGCTATTAAAGAAACCAGGAAATCATTAAATTTAATTAGTGAAAAAAAGGCTTCCCTTGAAAGTAAGATATTTTTTATATTACTGTTTACCTTATGGGCTGTACAGTCATGGCCAAAAGTTTTGAGAATGATTCAAATGTTAATATTTACAAAGTCTACTGCTTCAGTTTTTATAACAGCAATTTGCATATACTCCAGAATGTTATAGTGATCAGCGTAACAGCAATTAATTGCAAAGTCAATACTTGCCTAGAAAATGAACTCTATCCCCCAAAACACATTTCAACATCATTGCAGCCCTGCCTTAAAAGGACCAGCTAACATCATTTCAGTGATTGCTCCATTAACACAGGTGTGGGTGGTGATGAGGACAGGGCTGGAGATCAATCTGTCATGATTAAGTAAGAATGACACCACTGGACACTTTAAAAAGAGGCTGGTGCTTGGCATCATTGTTTCTCTTCTGTGAACCATGGTTATCTCTAAAGAAACACGTGCAGTCATCATTAAACTGCACAAAAATGGTCTAACAGGAAAGAGAATCGCAGCTAGAAAGATTTTACATCAGTCAACAATCTATCACATCATCAAGAACGTCAAGGAGAGAGGTTCCATTGTTGCCAAAAAAGGCTCCAGGGCACCCAAGAAAGACCAGGAAGCGCCAGGACTCTTAAAAGTCTCTTAAAAGTGTTTCAGCTGCGGGATCGGGCTACCAACAGTGCAGAGCTTGCTCAGGAATGGCAGCAGGCAGGTGTGAGTGCATCTGCAAGCACTGTCAGGCGGAGAGTCTTGGAGCAAGGCCTGGTCTCAATGAGGGCAGCAAAGAAGCCACTTCTCTTCAGGAAAAAAACATCAGGGACAGATCGATATTCTGCAAAAGGTACAGGGAGTGTACTGCTGAGGACTGGGGTAAAGTCATTTTCTCTGATGAATCCCCTTTCCGATTGTTTGGGACATCTAGAAAACAGCTTGTTTGGAGAAGAAGAGGTGAGCGTTACCACCAGTCTTGTCTCATGCCAACTGTAAAGCATCCTGAAACCATTCATGTGTGGGGTTGCTTCTCAGCCAAGGGAGTCGGCTCTCTCACAGTCTTACCTAAAAACACAGCCATGAATAAAAAATGGTACCATAATGTCCTCCGAGAGCAACTGCTCCCAACCGTCCAAGAGCAGTTTGGTGATGAACAATGCCTTTTCCAGCATGATGGAGCACCTTGCCATAAAGCAAAGGTGATATCTAACTGGCTCAGGGAACAAAACAGAGAGATTTTGGGTCCATGGCCTGGAAAATCCCCTGATCTTAATCCCTTTGAAAACTTGTGGTCAATCATCAAGAGGATGGACAAACGAAAACCTAGGAATTCTGACAAAATGCAAGCATTGATTGTGCAAGAATGGACTGCTATCAGTCAGGATTTGGTCCAGAAGTTGATTGAGAGCATGCCAGGAAGAATTGCAGAGGTCCTGAAGAAGAGGGGTCAACATTGCAATATTGACTTGCTGCATTAATTCATTTTAACTGACATTAAAAGCTTTTGTTACTCATCATATGATTGCAATTGTATTTCTGTATGTGATGACAACATCGGACATACACAAATGAAAACCAGAGGGCAGCAGATCATGTGAAAATATAATATTTGTGTCATTCTCAATACTTTTGGCCATGACTGTATGCTTTCCACAAGAAGGTTTCACTAAAATGTCTTTTATGAATGGGTATGTTTATTCATAGTTGAAATAGACTGGCCCTTCTTAAGATACCAGCATTCCTTCTGTTTTTTGATATGATTTCTGCTCCCTTTTTCTGTTCATACTGTAGCTTAAAATATTATTTTTACTCTAGATGAGGTCAAAGACACAACAGAGAAAGAGATTTCTTTCAGAAATGGGCTGAAACACAAAGGCCTAAAAATAGAACACCAGTTATCGGTAAGTCCTTGTCTTTTTCACAGTTTTGTGTTTAATTGTATTCTCCTGTATTTTTTCAATAGTACATGTATGTTATCTTTTTTCAGATTAAAGACATTGCAGAACATCTAAAACAGAAGAACGTAGAGGTTGAAAACATAGAGAAAAGCATCAGAAGAGTTTGTTCCATTCCTAACCAATTCAGTGGGCCGGATATTCTTGGAATGGTGATTAGGGAGATTTAAAAGCAGTATTCCTTTTGAGGTCTGTGTCTATATGCGTTGTCTTGCTGGCTGCAGGTTGGCCACTTGGCTTTTGTTGCTGATGATGATGCTGCAAGGGTTATCTCCTGGCACCTGCAGGGAGACATGGACTGCGTCATCACCACCACAACACCAGCAGCTCAGAAACTCCACCAAAAAACAAAGGGCAACCAGCAGGTCATGCCTCTCGACAGCATTCTTTTGCACCAAGGAAGCCGGTAAAACAATATTTAGTAAAAATACGCGTAGACTGAATCTTATTTAGAATGCATTGTTAAATAAATGTTGCCACTTTGATGGCTCTAGACTCAAATTTAGTATTCATGTACAGTTTTAAACTATTTTAGTTTAGTACATACATTTACATTAGGAATGGAGTAAAATTTAAGCATCACACTAATGTATGTGCTGTAGAATTCACCTCGCTGTAAGGAAAGCAGCCAGAGTTGGTGTTTGTGGTCATGTACTGGTTTCTAGTTGTACTTTGACCCACATCCACACCCAGCTTTGGTTCTTTAAACCCAACTCCCTGAGAAGGGATAGGATATTTCTAGGTAGACTAGCTGTCAGTGTGGATATAAAATAAGACCTTTGGCTAAGTGCCCTTTTATTATATTTTTCTACAATAAGCCTTTTTTCCAGCTTCAGGTTGCCATAGGAAAAGCTCTGCTTGATGTGTGTGTTTATGCTCTGACCAGTGGTTAAGATTACATAGAAACACCATGGCAGTATCATGCTGTGTGCATTTTTTTCTTCAGGTAGCACAAGACAGCTAGCCACAGCTGCCTTGCAGCAAGAAGGTTGCGGGTTTGATCCCCAGCCTAGGGTCTTTCTGCATGGGATTTGCATGTTCTCCCTAAACATGCGTGGGTTTTCTCTGGGTACCCCGGCTTCTTCCCACAGTCCAAAAAACATGACTGTTAAGTTAATTGGCTTCTCTAAATGTTTCTTAAGGGCGAGTGTGTGTGTGAATGGTTGTTTGTCTCTATGTTGCCCTGCGATGGACTGGCGACCTGTCCAGGGTGTACCCCTCGTGACCCCACTTCGGATAGGTGTGATGGAAAATGGATGGATGGATTATTGCTCCTTTACCAGAAGGGGGAGACAAATTGTTAAAAATATTTAAAGAAAATTGTCTTTTGTGAAATATTTTCTCTTATCTAACACTCATAAAATCTGTTTTTCTGCCTATATTTTACCTTTACAGCAATATGTGTAAAGTGACAAAGGTAATATTTTTGACCATTTTGGAACCACTAACATGGAAAACACAAGTGGTTTACCATCAGATTTAGTGAGTTAGAATCTAATATTTTAATTTAACTACAATATGTTGTCGCAAGATATAATCACCTGACTATAATGACAACAAATGACATTCTTAAAAGTGACAAACTAAGAAAATAGTTAAACAAAATATTAATCATTTTAGGATTTTTAAACACATCTAAATTCCCAATAAAGGTATTAAGATCACTTTTTCCTGGGTTTGATTTAATAGTTAGAATGTTGCTGTGTGTTTCCCTCTTTATCTTTCTAGACAATTTCCTGTCTGATATTTATGGGATAAAAGCCTTGATCACCAAAAAACATTAAGCCTGCATCAAATTTAAGATATTTTTTCCAGAAATGTCAAAAAAACATGTTCATGTGCATTCTTCTGCAAAGCTGAGAGTGAGAATCCATGGATATATGTTAATTTGAAATTCCCTTTTCAGTAAAGGTTTTGAATATCTTGCAGACCCCTGCCACACATAAAATATGGCAGAGAACTTTTCAGACCTACTGGGAACCCAGTCTTTGCCAAGGACCTGCTGATTTATCCTTACAAAGAGAGTTGTGATCCAGATAAACTGACAAAAGGTGACAAGTTTCTCTCTGCTTCATGTTATTTGCTTGTTTACCACTTTAGATTTATTATTTATGTCTAGAGATTACTTTGATTTCCAGACAAATTTGAAGTCCTTTTTAAGGGTTCTTGTATCTTAAACAGAAATTAGGCATCTTTTAATTAAGTAAAAAGTTGTTGAATATGATTTATTTAGGTTTATGTTTACTTTACTTTGGAGGATAAACTCTAATAAGGTATTATCCAGTCTCTGAATGCATCCCTGTTGTTGCCTTACCAGTGTTTAAAAACCTCCTCGGCGACACGATCCTGATGGACGACTTGAACTCAGCCACTAACTACAGGAAAGAGGTGAGAGATTTTTACTTACAAAGTTGTGTCATCCTCGGCCTCGGCTTAAATGTGTTGCTGTTCGCAGGTTGTGGAGAAGGGGATATTTTGTCCTACCATACTGACCCGAAAGGGAGACAGGGTCAGTGGCAGGGGCAAATTCGGAGGGAAAAACAACAGAGCACCATCAATTGACCAGTTAAAAGTGTTTGGAGCTCCTCTACCACCACACTACTACACACTGAAAGATCAAATAGGTGACAGCTCATGCTAAAGCTTTCTTTATTTGCCTATTATCCTGAAATATTTGTGAAAGCCTGGTATTTTATTTTTTAGGGTTGAAACAATTGGATTTAATCATGATTAATCGATTATAAAAATAATAGTCAACTAATTTAGTAATCCATTAATTGTTAAATGGAGTGTAGAGACTCTTAATAGTGCCTTTAGGTGACAGAACAGCCCAGTTTCAGCAGCAATTATACAAAGCTAGTAAAAAACAAAAATATAACAAAAACTTTTTGCATTTAAAAGAAAACAAAACATTTTTGTGTGTCAATATGCTCCATACAAAACTATTGTGGAAAAGTTTCAGTTTCACTTGGTTTAATTTCATAAAAATTCTTCTTGAAGGAACCTTTGGCTATCCGATTATTAATCGAAAAAATTATTAAAAGATTAATCATTTGCAAAATAATTGCTACTTGCAGCACTTTTTACTTTCACCATTTACGAGACATTTTGTAAAAAATATCTTTACAATATTCTTTTTTTTATCTGACCTTTTACAACTAAAACATCATTTGATGAACAGACTGACACCTCAGTTGTTCTACGCCGATACATCTTTAAGCCTGTAGCCTATTTTTCTTGGATGTACTTCAGGAGGATGTTCGGCAGATGTGATGTCAAGCCCGTCATTGTGAAACGGGTCAAACCAATTGAAGTGTTAAATTCAAGATGGATTATGTGGATATTCAGAAGCGACTGGGATCCAGCTCAACTCAGATACCAATAGCAACTCAACATAAGGTGAAAAGTAGAAAGAAAAAAACAACCTGAAGAGCCAGCTGCAAGAATGATCCAAAAAGTGCTGCAGTTCTGCGTTTGTGCCACAAGTGGCAGTATAATTAGAAAACTCAATCATGCTGATGACTCAATCTGTTGATGAAAAAGGTTGCGGATCTTTATTTCTTAGGTACAGTAGCTACTAAGTGCTGCTGGTAGAATGCATTTGATCCATGATCATTAGAAAGTGTTAATTATTTGAAAGTTTGCTGTGAAAAACTCTTATCTGGAAAATACCACAATACTACGGTGGCCGGGAGGTGTAAACCAACAGTACAAAATCTAAAAAACTTTTACGTTCTAAAACAAATCATCGTTTCAAAAAACAAATTTACATTTTAAAAAACACATTTACAGGTTCCTTTTTACAAATTTGTAAAATAAATACATTAAAGAGGTCTTCTTACGCTGTTTTGTGTTGGGGTTTTTTAAACGCCAAGAGAATCTGTATTTCTCCAACTTCTGTTCCTTCAGCCTGACAGAAATAAACGTCAGTTAATTAAAGTGTATTTTTAATTTTTCATTGCTGATATAAGAGGATGGTAACTGGCTGATAGCAGGGCACACTAATTAAGACGTCCTGCGAAGATGAGAGTGTAGAATTTCTGGTTAATCCCCTTGTAATGTAAAACATGACAGATTGGTGGATTAAGGACATTTCTAGTATAAGATATCACACATGTCAATTTTAGAGAAAATGGAAAAACAGTTGCTCTTTATTTACCAAAGATATGGGAGGAGGAGAGGAGAGAATGGATGTTTCAGCTGACTGAAATACTCTGTTCCCCTCCATAACATGGGAAGAAATTCATGTACATGCAAATCTTTAACTGTGCTTTATTCCTCTGACCATCAACAAAAAAATCCTATGCCTCTCTGGCTGCAATGCGCGCTCCCGACACAGGGGGAATTTCCCACAAGACCGGTTCAGCCTCGGCATTAGTACCTACCCTTTCCGGTTGAATTCCTCAAATGATAATTTGTTTTGGGACTTGTAAAAGTCTTTTGAATGTTTTTTTTATTTTTTTTATGTAAATTTGTTTCCTGAAATGATAATTTGTTTTGGAACTTGTAAAAGTGTTTTTTAAATGTAAATTTGTTTTCTGAAGTGATTATTTTTTTTGTGACTTGTAAAAGTTTTTCAGATTTTGTAATGTTGGTTTGCACCTCCCGGCCACCGTACAATACAGCGTAGCAGCAAATCAGAATGAACCAAAAAGTTTCTGGAACATTATAATTTGTTCAACTGGGGTAAAGATGTTTTGCCCTAAGGATCAGTTCAAATGTGGGGAAAAAAGTGAACTCATTCTCAACAATTAGGATTGATAATTTCATAATCAGGAACAATATAGCTGCTGATCAGGAATAAAATAACAGACCAAAGATTTAGAATATTTCAGTTGTCCAATTACTATCCAGTCCTAAGATGATTAAATAGGAATTAGATTTATATATCCATGATAAATCTGTGTGTATGTGTCTGTAAACATTCATGTTTTAAAATATTAATTTATTTCAGATGCGCTTCGTGAGTACCAAGCACTAGTGGAGAAAAAGGAAGAAGCAGAAAAGGAGCTTAATGACCACAAGGTAACAAGGTTCGATGAAATGCTCCAAAAAAACACAGAGAAAGACAAAATCGATAAGGAGCTAGGAGAGATTGAGAAAGAACTTGGTATGCTTTTCCCCTTTAGTGATTTGATTTATTTCAAGTTCTGTGTAACACAAACAACATTTTCTTTTTGATTTGTAGAATCCGTATCAGTGAGACCAGGGAAACGAGCTTCTGGAAGCTTGGAGTCGCCTGTGATCCTTTCAAAGCGTCCCAGAAAGAAATCTATGGACAGTCCAGAAAGATTTTAGCTGAACTCGGGCTATGGCATCTCTGTCTTTATGCACTGTTATATTTGATATACTTTTTTGTTTTTCTTTGCTTATTTTTGGACTTTCGAATTGTATTTGTGTGTGCAGCACTTTGGCAAACAGCATTTACTCGATGTTGATTTGATCTCTCAACACTCATTGAAGTAGTTTCTTTGTCTTTATGCAAACTTTTCTGTAGTGTTCCTTTTGTTATTTTTGAAATTCTAGTAACTGAGAGCCATTTATAGGTCCTTCTCAAAATATTAGCATATTGTGATAAAGTTCATTATTTTTCATAATATCATGATAAAACTTAAACATTCATATATTTTAGATTCATTGCACACTAACTGAAATCTTTCAGGTCTTTTATTGTCTTAATACAGATGATTTTGGCATGCAGCTCATGAAAACCCAAAATTCCTATCTCACAAAATTAGCATATCATGAAAAAGGTCTCTAAATGACCTATGCACCTAATCATCTGAATCAACAAATGAGCTCTAAATGTAAAAAAGTTAAAAGTTTTATTTTATTTTATATTTTCTGAATCTTTAGTGTGTGTTTGTATTTCAGAAACCACACACAAACACCTAACAGATCCTTAAGTGCTGATAAATCAATCCAATCTGATTAAAGGAGTCTGCCTCTTCTTACTGCAAGCACCTGAACATCTCTAAAGGGTCCTGACCCGACACCCTGAAGTGATTGTTGCCACCTAAGTTCCATATACAGTCAGTCTATCATACACTAAACAACGATTCCTGAGGCGTTTAAAACTCCCAGCCTGGTTCATCACTCAAAACCCCAATCATGGGTAAGACTGCCGACCTGACTGCTGTCCAGAAGGCCATCATTGACACCCTCAAGCAAGAGGGTATGACAGAGAAAGATATTTCTGAACCAATAGGCTGTTCCCAGAGTGCTGTATCAAGGCACCTCTGTGGGTAGGAAAAAGTGTGAAAGAAAACGCTGCACAGCGAGAAGAGGTGACCAAATTGTGAGGAAGATTGTGGACAAGGGCCGATTCAGACCATGGGGGACCTACGTAAGCAGTGGACTAGTCTGGAGTAGAAACATCCAGAGACACCATGCACAGGCGTGTGCATGAAATGGTACCTCTTCTTACTGCAAGCACAAGAAACATCTCTAAAGTGTACTGACCCAACACCCTGAAGTGATTGTTGTCACCTAAGTTCCATATACAGTCAGTCTATCATACAATTTTTGGTCCTTCGAGCCAGATCCAAGCAACCATTTCAGCCTTAGATGTTCAGCATGGATGAGAGATACCCTAACAGGGAGTCTGATCGCCCGCGCCGACCCAGCCAACTGCAATCATATCTCCAGGACTACGAGATGTGATATCCAGCTAAGCAACATCACCCACATGAGCAGGTCAGACAGACTACTCCTCCTGATGTTTTGTAGTATATTCATAATATGAGAGAGGCACATGATCAATTACGACGAGATGTGCCACGTCTTACTAAAGCCATCACTAGCCTTCCTTTACTAGCTCCACAGCATCCCATGTCAGAGTCCAGACTGCCCGAGTAAGTGATCGGCATCAGCTTACAAGCATGCGTAGGTGTGGATGACATCTGAGGTCACGAGGACCCACATCAGCATAACATTGCCACCGCATGAAAAGTGGGATTTTTGTCAATATGCGGCACTGTAGATTGTCGTGGAAGTTCAGGTTAACGGCAGTTTACGGTAACTTGCAGGGAACGCCGAAAACTCCCATAAATTGTCAGAAATTGACGTGGGCTTTCTTAGGCAGTGTTCCCCCCATGCCTCCCCCCCCTCCCATGGAATTCTAGGGGAGGCTTTAACATGTAAATGAAAATGCTGTGAGCCAGAGATNTGTAAGTTCTGGACTCGTTATGAATACTCTATGTAAACTCCCAAATTTGAAAAAATACATAGACGGTTCAGCGTATGCCAGCGTTTTAGGAGAATCTGGGACATCTGGCATACGCTGGATAAGTCGTCAAGGTATGACAGGGGCATTAGCTTCTCTCCTGCATCGGGGTTAACAGCAGACCAAGCCTAGCAATCTTTAAGAAGAAGAAGTGCAAGTAAAACATCTTTATCTACCTGTCAAAGCTGATGACGAGCAGGTTCATGACAGAGGCGTTACTGGCCACATAGTCTATGGCAAGCCACAAGTCACAAACCACAGGCCCAAGAGCCCACTGGCCCATAATGATGTAGGTAGTGTAGAGATTCATGGACAACGTGCCAATGGTCAAGTCTGCAAAGGCCAAGCTGAGCAGGTAGTAGTTGTTAACGGTCTTCAGAGTCTTATTTATCTTAAAGGACACCAACACCAGGATGTTTCCAACAACGGTGACCAAAGAGAGTGATCCAGTAAGGAAGACGATGATGATGACCTAAAAATGAAGAGAAGAGAAAGTCGTCCATCACATTGAGGTACACTCTGGAAATATTGCCACTAAAACAAAACTATGTTTATTATAACTAAGCGAAATAAAAACTAAACTTTACAGTTTACAGTAAGATTGAGACATTGGTAGCATATTTTACTTTGTGGGGGGGGGAAACTGGTCAAACTAAAAAAAAACAAATAACAGACAAATTCATGTTTTTTTTACTTTTATGAGACCCTTTCCCATCAACGACCCTTTCTTTAAAGTCTCACATATAAAGCCTTAAATGGCCAAGCTCCATCTGATATCAGAGATCTGATTGTTCCTTATGTTCCTAACAGAGCACTTCGCTCTCAATCTGAGCCAAAACAAGACTTTGTTTGGTCCACTCTATAAAACCTGGAACTTAATGCTATTTCTGACATTTTGAATTAAAAAAAGCTTCATGGATGGAAGAGAAGCGTCTTCAGACTTGGAAACAATGTCCAGTGGATTATTTTAACTTTTTTTGGACTGACAGAAAATCTTCACCAGCAAATTGATTTATTATTTATCATCTTTGATCAGAAAAGAAAAACTTAAACTCCTGCTGAAAAAGAGACCAACCCAGAGGCATGCTGGGAAAACCAGCCTCTTCCCCCATTAAGGATGACCTGGTTTCAAACTGCTCTGTGTCTGGGCTGATCTGGATCCTTTAAAAACAGAACCTGCTGAGATGTGCTGATTTGTGTTCTCTGTAAAGAAAATAAAACCGATTTACTGCTGAATAGTTAAAGTTGTTTAAATTTCTCCACCAGAGACTGATCCTCCTCCGCACCTGGACAATCCGAACTGAACCCACATGTCTGCAGTTCTGAGTGAAACACAAACCGAACCGAGATGGTTCTGAAGATAGAGGAAAGATTTCTGGAGGTCCAGAGGAAATGAGCACAGCGTTAGAGTCCAATCCGAGCAGAACCTTCGGAACCGATCGGAACCGGGCAGGTTGCGTAAGAACCGAGGAGCAGAGGGCAGCAGGAAGCTCCGCCCCCTTTCAATCACTTTAACTTCTCTGAGTTTCGAACCGCAGGAGCTGTCCTTTCAGCACCACCGTTACTAACAGTCCGGACGGAAAATCAGCGCTTTTCACAACCAGGACAGATCCTCTGACCGGAACCGGAACCAGGTGTCAGCGTCCTGGACAATAAGGCTCTAAGCCTCCAGGTTCCACCGGAACCAGAACCGCTTCCAAATGGACCCAATGAAAGCGGAGAGCAGAGACCTACTTACCATCCATCGCCATCATGGTCTGTTTGGCTTCATCCAGAGGGCGGAACAGAAGGGATGGAGCGGTCCACTGTGGCTGGGGCGGGGGGGCGGCTGATGGTACGGTCCGGTTTGAGATTCTCTGCTTTTATTTGATGAACACTTTTAATCCGCAGAAAGATGATTTTATCACCAGAAACAATTAAGGTTCATCTTAATTAATTCATTTAAAACAGTCAATGATTTATACAATCACAATTAATACAATTAATACAATCACAAAAATTCATTGATATTAACTTCATTTTATAACAATAACTTTAATAAACATGTGACTCAGAGCCAAAGATTAGAGCAGCTAAATATTTTAATATAGATCAGAAATGTTATTTTAGAAAGTAAACATTTATTAGTGACTTCAGATCTCATCTTCATTAAAATGATGAAAACATTAAAGGAATAGTACACCCAAAACATGATTAGCCTTCATTTTCTACTCACCCCCATGCTGAACAACACTCTGGAGTACTTTTTTGATA